CCCCTGGTCTAGGTGAACTGCAGGATTCGGACGGCAAACGTATAAAGTGCTGGCAGAAGGGTTACCAACGCGGTCAGCCCGACTTAATGATCTTGAATGCGCACACCCATTACCGTGGATTCTGTATAGAGCTGAAGACCCCGAAAGGCAACGGGGTACTATCTGAGAGTCAACGCCTGCTGTTGCAGAGGTATGAAGAAAACGGCTATAAGGTGCTTATAAGCAGCGACTACGACGAAATCTGTCGCGCCATCACTGCGTATGCTGAACGCCTACGAATTCCCTGTAGGTGGTGCTGTAAGGCCTTTAAAACCTCGGAGACTTTGGCAACACACTTAAAGATATTCCATAGAATATATGGACAAGGATAAATTTAATGAGTTAAAGTTCATACAAACGCACTGGAGGGATTTAGCGGTGGGGGAGATTTACGAGATAAAGAATTACGTAGTCTTTGAAGACATCGACCGCCTGCGTTTGGTCTTAAAGGATAAAAAAAGAACATACACCCTTTGGGCGCCCGATAGGATAAGGTACGCCATCGAAGGGCAGGATGTTACCCATGTTATGAGTCATGGTAAAAAGGATGGCAGGTGGGTATTCGATGTGGTCAAGTATGAGCCTGAGAGCCCTCTGCATTCGTAAGGACGTCTAATAGGGTCCGTTGCGCTTTAGGATCCGCGGGGCACCAATGCCCCACAAAGGATCCTTCGGGGAATACCCTGTCGCAATGAAGGCAGGTGTATTTTTTACGCGGTTTGGGTATCGGTGGCTTACAAGGGGTAATACAGGCTGCAGGTAGTTCGCACGTAATACAGTCCATATATTGAAAGGGTGATTAGGAATCCTCCAAGGAATGCTGCAAGGTAGGCTAGCATATATCTTAAAGAGGGTCTTATTTTTATTTATTCTTATTAAATCCTGCAGGATCCATTTCAAAGAGGGTCTTTATTCTTATTTATTATTATTAAGGTTAAATAATAATAAATAAAAATAAGATCAGGATTTGAAACTCTTTGCGCAAACCCTGATCTGACTTCCTTACTAGCCCTTACGGATGATCTCATCTTTTAAGTTATTGCCGCTCCAATCTTGGAATGTGCCTAAGTACTCCTTAAGACCGCGGAGATCAGACTGTGGATACAAGCACTGCCAAATATGTTGGTCACTTCTTTGACACCCGCAACGCTCACAGTAGCTCTCCCAATATTCCCTGTCTTCCCAGCGCACTCCTTCAACGCGGTCAAACATCGCAAAGCGCTGATCGATCTCCTTTTTACGTTGAGTTAACCTTCTTTTGGTCTCGCGCGGACAACACCTAGCTGCGACGTCGCCGTGCTCGTAACAAGCCACGCCTTCTAAGTCGTAATTACCGCGGCAACGGTAACGATGCCACTCTTCGTCTTTGTCCTCCTCGCAGCGCTCGCATACATTCTTTAGACAGACACGGTTATCAACGTGATACTTCAACATCTGCGCGCTGCTAAACAGATGATTACACTCCTTGCAACGCCTTTCGCGCACCTTTTGACACACCTTCTTTTCGACGTGGTATTTTAACATTTGCTTTGAGCTGAACTCCTTGTTGCACC